GTTAAACTAAATGAACAACTATTCACAATCATAGAAGCCTACGCTCCCACTGAAAGAGCTGAAATGCACGATATAGAATCATTTTACGATTGTCTCCAGAAAGCTGCTGAAAAAAGCACAAATAACATAATACTAATGGGGGATATGAACGCAAAAGTTGGTCAAATCACAGAAGAAGACAGCCTGGCATTGGGAAAATACGGCTACGGAGACAGAAACGAGAGAGGAGAACTATTCATTGACTTCTGCCAACAACACCAACTAAAAATATTGAATACAATGTTCAAGAAACCTCAATGTAGGAGATGGACTTGGAAATCTCCAGATGGAATCACACGAAATGAAATTGATTTCATTACGACTAACGTTCCAAAAATAATAGAGGATGTAAAAACTCTGAGCAGATTTAAATTTCCTAGTGACCACCGTATAGTGAGAGCAGAGCTAAATCCGAATAGTAGAAAGAAGTCGCGGAAGCACTACAAGCAAAAACCTCAAGCCAACTTTGACCCTAAGATCTTTAACAATATTCTGACACAAGAATTAACACATTGCAGTGAAAACCCCCACTCTTCTTCTTCCTTAAGCCTACAAGAGTACTACAACAGAGTCGAAAACTGCATCCTCAACAGTGTTGCAGAAGCAAAAATACCAAAGATAAACGAGAAGAAAAACATAATAACAGAGGAAATAAAAGAACTCATCAACCAAAGACACAATTTAGCTAACAAACAGGGGAAAACAAAACAAGAAAAATACAAATTGAGTAAGCTATACAGAGAGATTAACGATAAAATTAAAGCGAACGAACAAAATCACAGGCTACAAACTTTGGAAAAATATATCAATGAGTCAGGAGCTATCAAAAAAGCCTACAAGTGCTTAAAGAGATCAAAAAGCCTCATGTGTCACTTAAAATCGAAGACTGGTGCTTTAGCAACCAGCAGAAAGGAGATAACATACATAGCTACTAGTTATTACGAAAACCTTTATGACACTCAACACCATACATTAAATATAACACCACCAAACTTGTCTAATGAAGACCCAGCGCCATTATTCATGGAAAACGAAGTAGAGCACTCTATCAAGAAACTTAAACCAGGCAAAAGCCCAGGATCAGACGGAATTAATAACGAAATGATTATAGCTGGGAAAGATGCCCTCACTAAGCCACTAACGGAAATATTCAACCGGGTCATGAGAGAGAAAACAATCCCTACACAGTGGGCATCCTCAGATATTATTCTATTATATAAAAAAGGAGATCCCAAACAAATATCAAACTACAGACCGATCAGCCTAATGTCATGCTTGTACAAGGTATTTGCAAGTACACTATTACGCAGAATAACTCCCAAGATTGATGAAAACCAACCGATAGAACAAGCCGGCTTTAGGAAAGATTACTCCACAGTAGACCATATACACACCCTGAAAATGATAATAGAAAAATATAATGAATTTTCAATGCCATTATATATTGGTTTTATAGACTACTCTAAGGCCTTTGATTCCATAAGTCACGATTCAATATGGCGCGCTTTAAAGGAACAGGGAGTAAACAACGATTACATAGAAATATTAAAAGTGATTTATAAAAATAGCAAAGCGAGAGTTAAAATTGACTCACCTGGACAATTCTTCAGTATTAGAAGGGGGGTCAGGCAGGGCGACCCACTGTCCCCAAAAATATTTATATCCGTCCCATAACACATATTTAGAAATCTTGAGTGGAACAAAATGGGACTCAAACTACATGGTAAGTATCTGACGCACCTGAGATTTGCGGACGATCTGGTGCTGCTGACTGAAGATCACAAAGAACTACAATACATGTTGGAAACTCTCAATGAGTACAGTAACTCAGTTGGCTTAGAAATCAACATCGAAAAAACTAAGGTTATGACAAATGTAACAAAACTACCAGTCACACTGCAATCAAGAAACGTTGAATATGTAGATGAGTACACTTATCTTGGACATCAAATCTCATTTAGCAATGGAATGGACAAAGAGATCAATAGAAGAAAAACGAACACATGGAAAAAATACTGGAGTATGAGAGATATATTTAAGGGTACCCTCCCCAATAAACTGAAAACTAAAGCTATGGAAGTATGTCTAACTCCATGTTTGACATACGCCTGTCAAACATGGACACTTACAAAGAAACAACTCAACAGAATAGAAACCACACAGAGAGCAATTGAGAGAAGCTATCTAGGGATCAAACTAAAAGATCGTATAAAAAACTCAGAGATAAGACTTCGCACTCAAGCAAAGAATATAAAAAAGATTCTGCTTAAATCTAAATGGTAATGGGCAGGACATCTTCAAAGACTTAAGGACGATAGATGGACAAAAATAACAACTAACTGGTACCCACTGGGAAGGAAGAGAAAAAAAGGACGACCATTCAAAAGATGGGACGATCCCATAGTTAAAGTAGCAGGGAGAGTGTGGACAAGGTTGGCTAGAGACCGAGCCAATTGGAAAGTCTTGGAGGAGGCTTTTACCGCTTAGCGGTCCTTACATAGAATAGAATAATAGTCTTAATAATTGTAGCATATTACTCAGCACTAAGGCAACAGTAGTGGTGGTATAGATGTTTCATATGTGGTATGATAAAATTGTATAACTATTGTTAGACAAATGTTACAAATGTTGACAAATGTAGAACAGATTTAGACATAGAAAGTATGATTTTGCAAACAGATGCGTACAATTGGAAGCAAAAAGATGTAAGAATTAATAAATTGGTAAATGATTATTAAATCAATTTGTGTTTATTGAACTGTCATTAACGTTCCATCATACATTTGCCATAACTACTAAAACTGTACAACATCACCTATACTGTTTGCTAAAACTAAACATATAAGTATTAATTTTGTGCATGTTAGTCTTAAGCACCTAAATTAGAAATGTACTGCTGATTGTGTATTACTTAAACAAAATGTAAAAGCGAAATGTAAAGTAAGGAAACAATTAAAGCTATTTTATTTATTTTATTTTTTTATTTTTTATTTAATATTATAGAGCTGAAGAGTTTGTTTGTATGAACGCGTCTATCTCTGAAACTATTTATCCCAATTCAACCAATAATTCTTTCACTAATATGAAACTACAGTATGCCTGAGTGCTATAGGCTTTTTATCCAAAAAAAAAAACGAACGAAGCCGTAGGCAACAGCTACTTTGTTATAAATACAGTAATATCCTTTATTATATTTCAAACACAAGATATACCTATGGCGGCGCCGGATGTTGAGATAACTCCACGTATAAATAATTTAATAAAGAGATTGAAAAAGAAGAAGAAATTCGTTATTTTAACTTTTATTCAATACATATATCAGAGGACTGATTAGGTTAGCCCTTAGTCCTAAATACAATTTTAATATTTATACCTACTTTTGACATTCAAGGATTTAATTTGAATGAGTTTTTTCAGAAAAATATGATCTTATGGGTAATATGAACTTACAGGGTTGTATTGGTGATTTTAATGATAATAATTCTGTAAACACATAATCGCTACGATCGCGAATCATATGTTGTTTCATATTTTGTTAAATATACCACCTAACTCGGGCCTGCAAATTCCAAAAAACGCAAGAAAATTTGAATTTTAATAATAAAAATAATAAATATCTTTACACATATAATACAAATATTAATATTATAAAGATGAAGAGTTTGTTTGAACGCGCTAATCTCTGAAACTACTTATCTCCATTCAATCAATAATTCTTTCACTAATAGGAAGCTACAATATGCCTGAGTGCTATAAGCTTTTCAAAAAACACGAACGAAGCCGTAGGCAACAGCTAGTTTATTATAAATACTGTAATATTCTTTATTATATTTCAGACACGTATACGTGGTAGAGCCATGCTGCAGCTATATTAGTAGTATGTATTGTATTATTTATGTCAGCTTCGTGGTCACTCATATTATTTATTTTTTTATTGGAAGTCACGATTATTGAAATATCATCAGCAAATAGAATACATTTATGCTTCGTCATATTGACAATGTCAATTAAGTACAACAAAAACAGAATTGGACCGAGAACACTTCCCTGTGGAACGCCATATTTATTGTTTCGGTACTCGGACGAGTACGGTATTATGTCCCCATTTACATCTGCTTTAGTAACAATAACACATTGTTGCCTATTATAAAGATATGATTTTATCCATTGAAGCGTTGGTCCTCTAATTCTAATCTTTTCCAATTTCTGTAACAATAGGTCATGTGAAACTAGCACAAAGGCTTTAGATAGGTCAAAAAATAGTCCCGTGGTAAAATTATTATTATTGATATTTGATAGTATTATTTTTATGAATGAAAAAATCGCCAAAGTTGTAGATTTATCTTTTTGAAAGCCGTACTGTTCGTTTGATATAATGTGATATTTATTACAAAATTCAATAAGTATTTTATACATGCATTTTTCATATATTTTTGATATAACGGATATTAAGGTTATTGGTCGATAATTATTAATATCATATGTCTATAGCCCTTTCGGTCCCAGTACTCACAATTGTGACGGTGACTTTGTCAATTTTTATAAAATTAAACAATAGCCGTGAGTTGACGGGGACAGCGTCACACGATCGGGCGTGTAGTTCGGTTTATTATGACAAAGAGCAGTGGAATTAAATTACAATAATTTTGATTCAGTCGCCATTTGCCGCCTAGCAACAGACACGTGTTACGCGCCAAAATTAAACATACCTGTTTGTCACGTAAAAGTAAGTAAAAACTATAATGTTATTGCAATAATTCGTTTGAAAATAGCTAAATTCTCGATAAATTATGTTTTTATTCGTCCTTTCGCGTTTTTAGTTTGTCTTTTTCGACTTTACTTTTAGATGTCACAATCGTGAGGGTTCGGGCCCAACGTTGGTCGGATTAGTGATTATTTATACCAATTATTTTATGTTAAAAACCCTCTTGTTTACTTTTCAGCCTATTTGATACATCGTTATGGATAGAAATAACTTGGCTTTTGACCCTGATGCTATAATGGATCAACTGGCTGACTCGGATTTGGGCGAGGACTTTGACGACGATAATGATTGGCATCCACCTGGTCAGCTAACTAATTCTAGCTCGGATAACGAAGACGAGCAAGAAGCAAGAAATTCAACAGTAGCAAGTCCATCATCGTCGAATAAATGGATTCGCAGACGATTCGTCGGTAAAACCATGCCTACACTGATCTCGGAGCCGACGGAAGAAGTACTTACTCCAAGTGAATACTTTGATAGGTACTTTACTGAAGAAATTTACGAGTTATTTGCTTTTAACACGAATGTTTATTATCAGTCGAGTTTTAACAAACAACTTAATCCTCCGGTTACTGCGACAGAAATTAAAAAGTTTTTTGGTATTAATGGAATCCTGGGCTGCATTAGATATCCTAGAATCAAGATGGTGTGGATGCAACGATTTAGATCTTGTATTGCAGAGGCAATGGCTCGTGAAAGATTCTTTCTTCTCAGAGTAAACTTACACATAGTAGATAAGGGATCTGTATCACCTGAAATACAAACTCAGAACAAACTGTGGCTTGTCCAGCCACTGATAGATGCTGTAAGGGGCAGATGCTTACAGATACCTAATCTCACTTTTCAATAGATGAACAAATGGTGCCATTCCTCGGTAAGTGTCCTGTCAGACAATTTGTGAAAGGCAAACCGAGACCAGTGGGCCTTAAAAATTATGTCGTGACATCATCGAAAGGATTAGTGTTAGATTTTGAGCTCCATCAAGGCGACACCACTCCACTTTCATAGATCTTTGGGCCTTGGACCCGCTATAGTTTTACGTTTAATAAATACCCTGCCCAGAGGAAGTTTCGTCTATTTTGATAGATATTTTACGACCATTCCATTACTTGAGAAGATGTTAACGCTTGGAATTGAAGGCACTGGAACAACGAATAGATTTAAAGGATACCAGTTTCCCAAAGACTCTTCAATGAATCGGGGTGATTATCACGAGGTTGTTAACATTAAAAAAGATATCTGTGTCATTAAATGGAAAGACTCCAAAACAGTATTAACTTGTTCAACTGCTATTGGAGCCCTGCCATTGCATAAGGTCCAGCGTTACGATAAAGTTACAAAATCATACATCGAAGTAACTTGCCCTGATATGATTAAAAATTACAACGAACATATGGGAGGTGTAGACGTCAGCGACCAAATGATGGAGGTCTACAGATCATGGCATAAAACTCGCAAATGGCCAATCAAGTTAATAATGCATTTGTTTGACTTGGCCATGGTGAACTCGTGGTACGAGTATCGCCAATCATGTGATAGAAATAAAGTCAAGAACTCTAATATCATGGATTTTCTGGACTTTAAAATATGCGTATCTGATTTTCTACTTGGCGGCTCAACGAGAAAACGCACCCGAGAAGAATTCGAAGAAATGGCAAAGATGCCTTCAACATCCCACTATCAACCTGCACCTATTCCAACTATAGATAAACGTCTCGATGGGTATAACCATTGGCCCGTATGTGATTCTCTAAAAGCTCCTCGCTGTTGCCGAGTGACAGGTTGTACAAGCCGTTCAAAAGTAAGATGCACAAAATGCAATGTTTATCTTTGTAGTACTAAAGATAAGCATTGTTTCTACGTTTTCCATAATGAAAAATAATTTTTTTAATATTTTTCTCAAGTCTATTCCTTCTAGTAATTATAAACAGATGATCTCGATTGTGTGCCTTGTTCCTAGTTCTTAATAAGATTTTTATTGTATCTAATTACTCCAAAAATAGAGGTTAAAAGAAGCGTTATATTTTTGTTACTTATTAACAATAAGAAATTAAGTTAATATTGATTATAAAATAAATAATTAGCCCTAATTTTTAATTTTATTTGAATATTGTTATTACTCTCACGATCGTGAGGGTAGCTATAGTTGGGCCCGACATAGTACGATCGTGAGCATCGTGGAAAACAGTTTTCCCATTTTCCCAGATTTTTTAAGACCCCTTTTTTGTAATCTACGCATGTTATTTGCCCCAAATCAGTTCTGTAATATTCGTTAAGTAGCGCCGTCACGGCACGGGTCTGAAAGGGATAGGCCACAGCAACTACTTACCATCAGGTGGACTGTGTGCTCGCTTGTCACCCTATACTATAAAAAAAGACAAGATATACCTATGGCAGTGCCGGAAGTTGAGATAACTCCACGTAAAAAGAAGTTAATTAAGAAATTGGAAAAGAAGACGTTATTACGCGATAATATGAGGAAGAAACTAGATGCTTTAAGATCAGAGACCTGGCGTTTGCAAAAAAAAAAGTTGCTGAACAATCTAGTGTAATTGAGGAATTAAAAACTCGATTTTTAATCAACCAAGAAACGGCTGACTTCCTGTCATCGATCGATACATCCAATCGAGATTTCCTAAAAAGGTTTCTATGTAAAATGAAAATTCGTTATTTTAACTTTTATTCAATACATTGATCAAAGGAATGATTAGTTTACCCTTTAGTCCTAAGTACAATTTTACTATGTATACTTTTGACAATTTAATTTAATTAAACTATATTTAATCAATGTGGTTGTTTTATTATATCTATAAAATTATACATCGTCCCTTAGCTTATAACACCGCTCAAGTCGAAAATTGACGGTTTTCACAATTGAATGCCTTTAGATGGAGATGCTTATTGCGCGTCTAACCATTGGCCACATGATATAGATTTCAGACAATCAGAAGCCGTAATTCGAAAAGTAGTGACAGCGTCCAAATCGGTTGGCCTCTCAACACCGTACAAGTCGTTAATCTGTCATAAATTATTATATTTTTATGTGAATTTTATCTCTGAAAAGTCTATGCAAGAAGTTTTAATGTAAAATTAAGAGGTAAATTATATAATAAAGTAACCATAGATTATTAATAAGTCATCGCGCGCTCTGACTAGATACCGCCGGTGCTCATGTAAAATGCGGCAGCACATACTACGCCGAAATCGGCGTACCCGAGCCAGTCGCGTTGCAGGCTACGGTACCGAAGATCATAATCCGAAGTAAAATACCACGTATTGAATTGTGTAAAAATAATACTACAAGAAATAAGAAAGACACTGGAATCACATACGTTAAGTAGCATACAATTTCGAAATTTTAACATAAAATAACACGAGCCATAAATAAGTCACAAAATATTAATGACCATAGATAATACACTATATACCAGTAATGACGCTATTCACTATTCAGTGTTGCCGCGAATGCAAAAATAAAGTTCCCGTGGCTGAGATTTTTATATGTGAATTTATTGTTACTATATTTTATAATATAATATATTTAACTTATTATAATATAACCTAATTCTATATTATTTAATATTTATTTCTGTAGTATTGCTCAAATGACATAATTGCCGTTTATTAGAGTTCCGTACCCAAAGAGTATCAACGGGACCCAAGTCTCCCTTATCGTTCCGTTTGTCTGTCAGTAGGCTGTATCTTATGAACCGTAATATGTAGAATTTTCACAGAATGTGTATTTATATTGCTGCTATAACAACATAAAATAAAAAAGAAAACAAGTAAAATATTAAAGGACCCAAAAAATCACGTTTCATGTATGAAGACCATACAAGAAACGTGATTTTTCCTGTATTGGTATGTGTTTTGTTTACAGACTAAAGCGAAACCTCGTTTAACACGCAATAAAATGATGCTGTGTGTATGGTGGTATTGAAAGTTTATCATGAGCTTTTACCGCCGGGTAAAACCATCGATTCGAATCTCTACTACCAGTAAATAATGAGATAAGCAAGAAATAGAAATAAAAAAACGGCTGGCATTGATAATCACAAAAGGAGTGGTCTTTCATCATGATAACGCCAGATCACAAGATTTTATCTGTTTGAGACTTTCATTAAATTGAAACTATCAATAGTTAAGCCGCTGTTTAAAAAAGGAGAGAAATATGATATTAATAATTATCGACCAATAACCTTAATATCCGTTATATCAAAAATATATGAAAAATGCATGTGACGGCACCTGCACCGTTGTAGATGCGGTGGCGTCGGTCTAGCTAGACAGAATTCTTGTAAAAGACACGTGTACCGCACACCTGCGGCATTGCACCTGCGTTGCCGCCCGTCCTGCTTGTATAAAACGGACTGAGCGGCCGCCGTTAAGACAGTCTTGGCTCTGACGTGGAACGGTACGCTTGTCGTATTCCGTTACTAGTTTATCCTCGACTCGTTGGATAATTAATTCGTGTAAACGAATTAATTATTATTCCTAACTACAAAATTAGTCTCTGTACTATACTCACTTACCCTTCCTACACATGTATAAAAGACTTATTGAATTTTGTAATAAATATCACATTATATCAAACGAACAGTACGGCTTTCAAAAAGATAAATCTACAACTTTGGCGATTTTTTCATTCATAAAAATAATACTATCAAATATCAATAGTAATAATTTTACCACGGGACTATTTTTTGACCTATCTAAAGCCTTTGAGCTAGTTTCACATGACCTATTGTTACAGAAATTGGAAAAGATTGGAATTAGAGGACCAACGCTTCAATGGATAAAATCATATCTTTATAATAGGCAACAATGTGTTATTGTTACTAAAGCAGATGTAAATGCGGACATAATACCGTACTCGTCCGAATACCGAAACAATAAATATGGCATTCCACAGGGAAGTGTTCTCGGTCCAATTCTGTTTTTGTTGTACTTAAATGACATTGTCAATATGACGAAGCATAAATGTATTCTATTTGCTGATGATATTTCAATAATCGTGACTTCCAATAAAAAAATTAATAATATGAGTGACCACGAAGCTGACATAAATAATACAATAGATACTTTAATTAATTGGGTTGACATACATAATTTAAAAATTAATTTAGACAAATCTTTGTATATACAATTTAATAAATGCACTAATAATAAACAGAATTTTAAACTTAACATTCCAAAAATAAAAGCAGCTAGTCATACTGTTCGCGACGGCCTAAAGACTTTAAGAAAAAAGTGATGAAAGAATATTGTTATGTTTAAAAAGTGAAATTACCAACGAAATCGAGCAAATTGTGTATTAATATAGTTTTACAGTGTGTTTACAACTCTTAATATATCTGTATGGAATGTCGTTTTAATAATAGTTGATATAAACAACTTTAAGCATTTAAGAAAAATTCGACCAATCACGGCGCATCATATCGTAGAACTTTCTGGAAGTTTAATTAACTGCGCAATAGTTTGTACTGAAAATAATGAGAATATTTTTGTGTTTTAAAAGAGTTGTAAATATGATATTTAGTTAGCATATGATATATAGATTACGATAGTAAAGAAATAATTTGTATAAATAGACGCATTTGATAAATATAGAAAAATTAAAGAATTAATGTACCCATTTGTTGTGAAAATTTGGGACATTTCATTTAATAACTTTTTTAAATGTAAATATATTGAATAACCTTTATCACATACTGATAAAGGACCAAAATGCCTATTTAATGATGTATAGCGTGTTAGTGTAAAAATTAGCCTTGTATAAAAAATATTGCAATTTGTGCTAATTACATAGTGAAAATGTTTAAAAATAAAGAGGCAAAATGGAAAATGGCAAGCCGCTCACTATACAGTATAGCCGAAGTCTACCTTATGGGGGCGAATCCCAGTAACGTTGTAGTAGGAAGAACTACCAGTGACAAGCAGTAGTATCCGGTAGTAGCTGAAGTGACTAGTAGCAGAACATAGTGAACAGTAATAGTGAATTAGAAAAAGTTTAGCTAGCGGAAGAAGGTCGTAACTGAAAATCGCAGTTACACATAGCCGAAAAAAGTGGCAACTGAAAATTCGCAGTTACATATAGTGAAAAAGTGGTAGCTAGCCGAAAAAAGTAGTAACTGAAAATTCGCAGCTACATATAGTGAAAAGTGTTAGCTAGACGGAAAAAGTGGTAACTGATATTCGCAGTTACACAAGTGATAAAATCAACTAGTTTTAGTTGATTAATAGCTGCTAGTCAGTAGTGTTAGAAAACCAGCTACTACCAATAGATATTTTGATACTACCAATAGATATTTTGATACTACCAATAGATATTTTGATGCTACCAATAGAGATTTTGATATTACCAATAGATATTTTAATACTACCGCACATTTTAATTGAATCTTTTGAAATATATAGTGACCAACCGATATTGAACAACCGTAGTTGACCAACCGTGTTCAACAACCGTGGTCGATAAATAAGAGTTATAAAATTTCGCGACTAATTAATCAGTCGAACCGCTGGCCACTCCCTTGCTATTTTAATTTACAAATCGTGCATTTTAATTTTGAACCTCAGTCCACAGTTTTCTAGCAGCACACACACAGAGACGGCAGTGAAAGTATCCTCCGGAACCTATAGGTGTAGGACGTGAGCGACTCGCGGAGTATCTTCGACAACATTTACTCCGGAGAGTTACGCCCGTCCGGCACATTCGCTGGTCCTTCGAGCCGGATCCTTCATCCGTTTGTATTTCGGAACCGGAACCATAGTCACTACCGTATTAAAGTTGCAGAATTTTCAGAATCAAGATGCCGATCACTCGTTCGCAAGGAAGGGGAGCCATGGCGTGGACTGTCGGTCTGGAAGGAGGCCCGTCGG